TGACCGCTCCTGAAAAAATATCTCTTTCCCCCCCTCCATCGTCCCTCCGCTCATCTCCCCCCTTCTGCTACCTCGCACCGGTCATCCCTCTCCGTTTCCCTGTCTGTCCTTCTTCCCCCCCCGTCCCTCTCCCTCGTACCCCGTTGCTGTGAGACAATGTCTTGCAACAATACAGGGCTTAATCTCCGTGTCAAAGCTGTTTTTCCTCTTCACTGAACACACACACAAACACACACATGCACTTTCACTGAGGTGGCCGGGTTTTTTTTCTTTTCTCCAAATGTTGTATCTAATCCGTTGGAGAACTGCAAAACCAAACGATGGCATTTAGATTGTTTTTATATATTATTTTAATATATAAAGGATCTTCTTGAATCTAGTAGTGATTGATTGTCTGCACAGATCCTTTAAAGTATCTGCTGTAAGTCTAGCCAACACCATTTTTTTCTTTCTTTTTTGGCTTAGTTGTGCGAACACACTAAAAAAGTCATTACTCATTAATACCGCAGTAATTAATGAGGTCCCAACGAGCTCATTTAAGACCTAACTTCATTTTGGAGTGACAACCTTGTGCATATGTTTCAATGGATGCAGCGCAAGTTTCTTTTTCCCTATAAAATGTACAGAATTGAGATTTGATTCTCAACATTTTATTATTTTCAGTTCATATTTGAGACGCTCAAATGTTTCAACGTTTTGATTTGTGATTTGTTCGATTTGATTCATTGTCTTCAAAGGGCATTTACCAATTTGTATTACCTACAAAGAGGGAGATAGTAATTTGTGGATTTTTATATTTTCTGTCCAAGAAATGAATGAATTAACAGATTCACTGACATTAATAACTAAGTACTTGTCTTGTGCAGTTGACCTTAACACTTAAAGCCACATTCACCAATTGAAAACAAAAGGATTTGCTGCCTTTCCTTGTCCAAGGACGCTTCAATTTATGGTCTTACGAAACAGAAAAGTCTACCTACTGGCCTTCCAGATGGCAGATATTAACCCCACACTGAAATAACCAGAATTTAATTCTACCTTAAAAAATAATCAGTACTGATCTACACATCTTCCGTGTCATTCTTTGTATTCTTTTCTACTGAAATGCTCGAACGCGAACCAATTTCAGAGATGACGTTTTCAAACCATAAGGAGACAAGACACATAATTTGCCTGTGAAATTCATGCCGCAAAACTAAAAGCAAATTCCTCCATCGATGTTATTTTATGATCCAGGTAAGCAGTCGGAGCCCCAGTTCAAGGCAAATTGGATGATATGATGCCATGCAAATAAGTACCAAAGTAAACATCAGCTTGTGACATGATACGCAATACAGAAGCAAGCATTCAGCAGTCTTACACGCATATTAAAATCAGCTCTAAAGAGACAGTCTTCAATAACCATGAATCAGTCACTAAACCACTTGTGATGCTTATGAATGCTTAGTCGTATTTTTTTTTTTAAACTAAGCATTAAAGATCAGTAAAACAAAAAAAAAGAATTCTTTTGATGCTCAATACGTTCATGTAATCCACATTGGAAGCCCCCAATGCGACGGTGCACACAGGAAATTGGATGTTATTGGCCAAAAGGAGTCTCGGGGGCTCTCGTCAAAAGCCTTCATCAAATTACGATAAATTCGGTTAAGGGAAATGAAGCAATCGGCCGTTTGAACTAATAGTTTTTTCTAAACTGTGTTTTTCGGCAGTTCAACCGATGCATAACCTCCCAGCTGATCAAGTGGTTCAGCAACTTCCGAGAGTTCTACTACATCCAGATGGAGAAGTTCGCCCGGCAGGCCATCAACGAGGGGGTGACCGCCGCCGAGGAGCTGACGGTGGGCCGGGACGCCGAGCTCTTCAGGGCCCTCAACATGCACTACAACAAGGCCAACGACTTTGAGGTACGGGACTCCTTCTCGATTGGTGGCTAGACGTGCTCTATCCCCAAATTTGTCATTGGCAATTTGTCAAATCCAACAGGTTTTCGCAGAATGCCCAAATGCTAAAAAAGACCAAAAATTAGACAGTTACCGTCTATAATTCTGTGTCTGAGCTTTGTCTGGTGGTAGCAGAAGGTTGCTTTTGTGATATTGACATTCGGGAGCTTCCCCTCAAACGACTTTGAGGTACGGGACGCCCTCTCGAGGGGTCGCTAGACGTGCTCTATCCCCAAATTTGTCATTGGCGATTCGACAATCCAACAGGTTATCGCAGAATGCCCAAATGCTAAAAAAGACCAAAAATTTGACGGTTACCGTCTGTAATTCTGTGTCTGAGCTTTGTCTGGTGGTCGTGGAAGGCTGCTTTTGTGATCTTGACTGTCTGAAGCTTCCCCACTATGCCCTCTGATTCTGGGGTCTTTAGGGCAAGATTCAAATTCATACTCGAAAGAAGACCGTGGGAAACATTTCGCAAAATTTCTCCATCATCAACTTTTTAAACCCACTTGAGCGCAACTCTAACTCAGCCCCTACCCCCCTCACCCCCCCACCCACCCTCACCCGCCCCTACACAGACGTCCTCTACCGACTCAGCTGTTCGGCGCTCGCCAGTCACCTCGCCGTTCTGCTGAGGTGCGGATGTTGCAGCCTTGTGTCTGTTCGATGAGGCAAAAGAGGACGCCGCTCAAGGCGCGGGTGTCCTTGTCAAAGCGATTTGCAGAAGTCACATCCCCCCCCCAACCCCCCACCACCACCACCTTCACTTTTCCCTGCCCGATATCGGCCTAAGGGGACCCGAGGGCCCTTAAACTTCGCAATGGAACATCAGCAGCATTTAGATGTCCATTAGCACGCGCCTTCCTCGCTGACACACACTCTTGTCTTTTTGGCTCAGGGAGACGAACGCTGAAAGGCTTAAAACGCACAAAAGCGTGAGCTCAGCAGACGCAACACACCCGCCCGCGCGCGCCGGCAATCTTAGTGTCCTGTAGGGCGGAACGAATAGACGGCTTTGCATAGTTTGCATAGGAAGAGTCAGGCAGCTTGTCGCAGGTGTGTATGTAAAAAGCACGTACAGGAAACACACACGCATGCAAATCATTTACGTGTTTGCTTTGGCAGGTTGTCAAGATGGGTTATTTTAGGGAGGCCTTAAACAGTGGTCAGAATTAGAAAGGGGCATGAAAGGCTTTTACACACCGCGGCGTTTCAACCGTGAACGCTTTCATACTTGGAACCGCATTGTACCGCAGATGATCCGCTCCTTCGGATTGGGCGCTTCCGTTTCCCCCGCTTTCGGCCTCTCACGTTTACCCTCCACCGTTACGCACGCAGTTCCTACCTCTTAAAATGCGGAATACGTACTTTGAGGAATACGTACTTTGCGGAATGCGCCCTTCATTTCGTCAATCTCGTCAATTTTACAGCTTCTCGCTTCTTGAAATTTGCTTCGAATTTTGCTTCAAATGAACTTGTTCGTGAACTTTCCGGGTCTAGGACTTTGTGTCACTTTGTTGTTGTTGTGATGGTAACAGAACTGATAGAACCCGCATTGAAAGCAAACGAATGACCGACCGGGAGCTAGAGGAGTCACCACGAATACCAGCAGCTGAGGGGCTAATCTGTTGTGCTTTAACTTTTTGTATAATAGCAATCAGCAGAGGCCGATAAGGACATCTGAGAAAAGATTGTGTGTGTTCCATAAATTTGAAGGTGCGCGCACCTTTTCCTCCTTTACTTCGTCCCCCCCTTCTCCTCTACCCCTTCCTTTCATATGTCCGCCCTGGGGGAACATTAGTGGCTTGGGACTCTCTCCACCTCTCCTTCTCCATTCCTTCCTTCCCCCCCCCCATACCCCCCCCATCTCTCTCCCTCTCCGTCAAACTCAGAGGCGTGAAACTGGAACCACGGCCGAATCAGCAAGTCTCCCGATGCACACACACACATGCACACACACACTAAAGTCTTCTCCTTTTGCCAAATTTAGCATCATCAAAGTTCCACCTTGGTTTGTCCCTCATCGCGCCTCCCCCTCCTCCTCTTTTTGCTCTTTTCCTTGTTTCCTATCCTTCCTCGGTACTATGCACTTTCGCTGAATGCGTATCCCCAATTGATACGCGCACTTGATCACCTCCGGCCTTTGCTCTCCATTTTTAACCAAGTAAACTTCTTCCGTAACACCTCAACTTCTCCTCCTGTAATCTAAGGAATTGATAATTGTCTGGAGACCAACTGAGGCACCCTGCTTGACCACTACTCGGTAACACTTAGCAGTGACTCACTGATGCAGTAAGTAGCTCAGGAGTGAGCACTCCATATCCCAAGATGATCCCCCCCCACACACACACACGCACACAACTACATTCTTCCTCCAAATACCCTCTAGTTTTTAATAGCAAATTTTCCTTCGACGTTCTCTTAAGGAGTATTCACAGATTGTTTATGAAATCTAGGCCAGGGACCTTTCGAGCATAACATCAAAACCTTAAAACTTCAAGTAGTTCAGGTGGAAGTTTGATACTTTCTCTTGACCGTTTTGCAGCCGGAGGAAGCCATACCTCTCTATTATATCTGATAAAGACTTGTAAAGGAACGTTTTCTACAATTCTTAGCCTATGCACCCAAGTAAAGTAACGCGTTTACCTTCCATTTGAAAGGATTCTGTCAGATTTCCAGTACATTTCCTGGTTTTGTCTTATCAGTAGGTAGAGTGGTCAAGGCGTCCGACAAGCCGAGAGGGGATAAAAGAGCTTGAGTCATTAGTAAATACACACGGCCGGCATTTTAATCAGTTATTGCTGAGGGGGGGACGACGACGACTGTAATTCGTTGGCAATTCATATGCGTGTGTGTCGTCGTCCAGAGTTTGGCACAAACAGACTCCGGTAATTATAGCGGCTTCATTAATTACCTCCTCCTCCTCCCGCCTGTCCAGCCACACTCTTTCAACTCCTCTTTCTTGTTTACCTCTGTCCCTCTATCTCCCCCTTGCTTACCGTCTCTTCTGTCCTCCCTCTCAGCCGTCTACGGAGCAATTTTTTGCGCTAATTGCAACTCTGCCCACTAAATAATGAGGGAGGCAAAGGAGGCTGGAGAAGGGGGAAAGAAAACAGGGGGGAATAGTCTTATGTTCCGGGTTTTGGGTGCAGGGATTAAAAGAGATACTTTCTTTGCCAGGACACTCGGGGGGAAAAGGTGTCAGTCTCTAGTTTCTGCCAAGAGTGAGAGAGAAGGCTCTTTTTCCGTCAATTATTTTGTCGTACTGTGACAGAAAATAAATTTTGCCAGCCAAGTTTATGAGTTGATTCCTTTAAAACCCACGCAATCCAAAGCAGACGTCATGTATGAATTTTGCGAACTGGGTAAAAAAACAACAACAACAACAACCAAACAATAGAGGCCTGGATTGTGTAAAAGGGACAACAAAGCTGCCATATTTTGTCATGTGTTAAGTGTTCGTGCGTGCGTTTGCGTGCGTGTGTGTGTGTGTGTGTGTGTGTGTGTGTCGGGTGACAAGGGACAATGACACATTTTTATGAAGCCTTCTAAAGGACGTTCTCATCTTTCCAGTTCAAGGATCCTCGCTGGCTCTGTCAGCACCAAATGACGACGCAGCTGCGCCTTAACACACAAACATACGCGGACAGACACATACATACGTTGACACACACGTACGTGGACACACACATATATATTCGCACAGATACTCGTTTGTGTTCGTCTGAAAAGCGCTAAGAGATAACCTCTCTTGAAGGGTGGGTGTGGTTGGGACCCAAAATCTGCTCTTTGACTTTTTAGCTACATATACACACACACTAGTGAACACACACACACACACCTGGAGGCCACGGAGTGGTCACACACTCGCATTTCAGGGCTATCCGGTTTCATAAGCTGTGCACCTCATGAAAGGCCGAGCTTCTCGTGTCTTTCTCCGCTGTTTTAGACTCTTTGTCATCCCGTTGTTCATCCATTCACTCGTCTTTTCCACTTCCTCTTTGTGCAAGCCCACCAAAAAGGGGACCGAACCCGACACCACGGAATCGATTCTGAACGTTGGGTTTTTCTCCAAACCATCTCTTTACGTAAATTAAATTAAAATAAAATGGAACTTCAGGACTCTTAAGATATACCGGTCGAAATGTTTAAGATTGGCCCGTGTCCAGTGGACTTTTTGTTCCTTTTCTGTTGTCCTCACCCAGTCTGGTTGTAACCTACCCAGAAGGCACACACAGACACACATCCACACTCACTCGGCGCTGTGGATCAGCCCTTTTGAGAGCGGGGGAACTTCACAAAACTGCACCTGTCCCGCTTTCTCTTTTCTCCGCATCCTCTTTCTGCCTCATCCTGAGGTCTGCACGTGGACAATTTGCTAAATATTAGAGGAACTGCCTCTTGTTATAGAATCGCGGTGCAATGCAAATGTCTTGGCCCTATTTGATTTCTTCATATATTGCCAGAAAAAATGGAAAACGGGTCCACTTTCAAAGGTTTTTTCCCCCCTTTTTTTAAATAACACAGTCCAGGTGTTGAAATATATCTCAATTTCAGGTAAATTCAGCAAAAGGATCGCTTTGTTGGTGCGAAAAGATTTCCTTTTCATCAAAATACGCAATCTTTGCCCATGTTTTTTAGTTTTATTTATTCAAAAAGAGACAAAGACATGTTTTCGTGGTTGTATTACGGCTGCTCGGGACCGAGCCTGTAAAGATATCATTCAAAATCTGTTCTTTATCTAGTTTTTTTTTTTTGTCACGCATCAACACAACCTTGGTTCACGCCTTGAGTAAGATCCCTTTTATTCGTTCGAATGATTCATACCTCGAAAGAAACTGAAAACATAGCCCAGCGTCTACAGAAAAACACGAGTAAATACGGATCAAGACTACAGGACATCAAGAGAAGCACCAGAGAAACGGGTGTTCAGATCATTCAAATCTATAGGAAATACACTATGG